ATCCTGATGTCCCCACCTCACAAGGGCTGGGACTGCATTTGTGCACAAACATCATTAGCAACAATAATGGTTTTGGGATCAATTGTTGAATGACCATATAGTGGAGAGTTTCCAGGGTACTGGGGCCAGACATTTGAAATATGTTTGTTTCTAGCTAGCTTCCTCCTTCCACAAGGTCTAAGGAGGAAGGTCTTGGGGGTCTGTAGGAGTAGAACTTTGCAGTCCGGCAAGGGGTGAGCCAGTGGTTAGTTCCCTGTTCTTGTATAAGGTGTAGGTAACCCTGTTTACCTGTTCATTGATTGCATTGCTTGAGGAGATGGACAGTGTTCCAAGAGAAGGGAGGGTAGTATAAGATGGGGGTGCATGGGAAACATCAGTGTTTGCTACTCTCTGGACACTCTTTCATCCTAGAGTCACCAATGGACTGAGGATATCCAGAGAAGGCTCACTAATCACCAAGAGGAGGGAGTCTCAACCTGTGGGTCACAGCCAATTTAAGGTTTGCATATCAGATATTTACATTATGATTGATAACGGTACCAACCCAGCAGCTATGAAGTAGTAACAAAGTAATTGTTGGTGTGTAGGGAGTGGGGATAGGGAAACACCACAACATGAGGCACTGTAGAACAGGTCACAGCATTAGGAACATGTAGGACTGAGCAAGAGTTTGCAGGGTAAAGAGGAGGAGTGGCTGGTCCTGGGTGCCTGCTTTTCACCTGGTCAGGAAGCAATCAAGGCCTGCCTTAGTTAGGGCTTCTATTGATGCAAAGAAACATCCACACCAAAGAGCAAATTGGGGAGAAAAGTGTTTAGTGGGTGTATGCTTCCAGATCAGCTTTAGCTGAAGTCATTTTAGGAACTCCAACAGGGCAGGGTTTGACTCATAGGCAATGCAGCGGTGCTGTTTACTGGCTTGTATCCCCTGGCATGCTTAGCCAGCTTTCTAATAGAACTCAGGACTTCCATCCCAGGAATAGCACCACCACCAGGGGATGGACCCTCCCCCATTGACCACCAATTGAGATGTTTTACATCTGGGTCTCATGGAGGTGTTTCCTCCACTGAGGCACCATTTTCTCTGATGACTCTTGTCCAGTTGACACAAAATCAGTTAGTGCAAGCCCTTAGTTTATAACTCCAGACATTGGAATCATAGAACTCTGGGGTTACTATTTGTTAAAGGTGGGTAAGGGCTGCCTTTTGTTCCCACTCTTTCTGCTGTATTGACAGTTTCCACTTGTCACTTTTGATTTGGTCAACCCGTGCTGTTCTTAATAGCAGGGAACTTGTCTGTATGAAAGCCAAGAAGGTCCTCTTGTACAGTTGCAGGGCTGAGCCTTTATGCACCTGGCTATCCCAAGCTTATCTCAGAGCCTTTTCAAACAGACAGAAGGAGCTGGTGCTGTTCAAACTCCCTCCTGGTCCGAAGTGATACCACTGCAGATGGATTTTCATCACCTCCCATTGCCACTGCACATTCAGTATGTCACGAGTCCCCAACTCACCCCCATAAATGGGGACCTGTCATTGAGGCAGAGAGAAACCCTGACAATTTAACCCAGGATCATTTAGGCTCATTATTAGGGCAAGGGTGGGTTACAGCACTGTTAAGCTACTCCCAGAAATCCATTTCTCTAAGAACACAAAGAATCCATTACTGTAAGACCTCAAAAGCTGTCAGGTAAGTAATATAAAGCCATTTTTCTCCTCACCTTTTTGGCAAGTATGCGACAATGTTTTCAGTCCCAGGGCATCTGTATGCTTCTAGTTAAGGTCCTTGCTAGAGCAGCTTTTTCCCAGAAGGCAGCTGTTTGCCTCAAACTGAATAGATCCCACAGAATGGCTGCCCGAGCAAGGGGGATCTCGGTTCCTCCGGGTTCCTCCCTACTAATAGTGAGCTCCTGGGTCAGCTAGCATCGTGAGTTTACCGGTGTTCATTGAGGTTTTGGAAAGCTTTTCAAGCGAAACAAGTGCAAGTGTATACCATTCGCAGAGAATGGCGGTTCAGAGAGAGGTAGGTATGGCGACTCTCTTCTTGGATTCTGGCAGGGAGGGTCCCACACTGTCTGTTGCCTGAGACTGAGCCCACGAGGTTGTTTTTGCACAGAGCACGCTGAATGAATATGTTGAGCAGCGAATCTGTGCATTGCCCTGACTCGTGGAAAGTTTATTCAAAATTAGGATTTAAAACGAAATATTTCTAAGTTGATTTGATGTGTGCCTACTGAAGAAAAATTGTTTGCAAGTGCTAGCCTGGCCTCTTTGCATTCCGTTTCCTTCATGATTTAATCGGGAATCAGCACCAGTGATAAAGGCTCAGAGAACAAGGGAGACACATGTCCAAGCACTTTGCAATAGTTTCACCAGAATAACCTGCTTATTGCCCTAACCTATCTGAAAACCAACAGGGTTCGCTTGTGCAGCCTGCACGGACCAGCTCTTGGGTGCCTGAATATCCCAATCTTAAATCCAGTGCCCTGGAAAGCAGGCAGATAAAGTAACATCTTCCATGTCCCTACTCCCTCCCGTCGCGTCCGTCCTGGTGTTTTAATACAGGAAATGATTTAAAAGGCCCTGTTTTTCCTTCTCTGCCTGGTAAATTTCTCGTGCTAGTTTTTCCTTTCCTTTTTTTGTCAGACACGGATCAGTACTTTGGATTCCAGGGCATTTCCATGTTCTTTGGCTAGCTGTGTTTGCACTTTAGCGGTGCGGGGTAATTCTTTGCTGCGAACGGGAGTGATCCCTCAATATGTCTGCCTCAGCGGCAAGTGTGCTCTGGTTCCGCTTTGGGTTCCATAAGATCCTGGCGAACCAGGGTGGTCTGCCTGGGTCAGACAGCGAGCATCTTGCATTTGGGGCTGTTCGCTGAGCTTTATATGAGAAAGTGATCGGAATTCCTGCACTCTCCCACTATCTCTTCCCGGAGATTCAGCCCATACAGTGCTTGTGCATAGTGCCTGCTCAATATGCTGATAAAATGCC